CCTCCTCCTGTGTCTACTCTGTTCAAACCCAAGACTTCGAGTGGCCTGAGAAGCAGGGCCTCCTCCTCCCTCACAGAAGAACGTTTGGTCAGAACTCTCTCTGTGAGAGCCACTAACATCTGGAACTGTCTTCCTCTGCACATACGGGAGAGCCCTACACTGATCAGCTTTAGAGCTCAACTCATCCTACAGATGAAAACAAACCAGTCATGTGACCACTAAACTCTTAACATTTCCTTGTGATGCTTATATTGTATATTATATGTTCTTTCTTATGTATTTGCCTGCCTAGGGTCTACAGAAGAAAACTAGCTTTGTAGCTTTAATCCGGCATATTTACATTTGTTTTTATACTGATGTTCATTAATGTGCTTTGTCCCTTTTCAAATAAATAAATAAATAAATAAAGATGAAGAGGGATTTTATTTGTTTTTAGCGTCACAAGTCCAAGATTACACCAAAAATCAATGAAATAATGACAAATCTACAATTTAGAGTTTGAAAGTTAACAGGAAATGGTTGTATGTGATTTTTTCACCTGTAAATAAGAAAAACCCTTACAACATGAAACATTCAGAGAACTTTTCTACAGTAGATTGCATCACCTGTTGATGAACTCCTACCAATTAATCAAGAGGTGAGGAGGAAGTGATGGTTTAGTCGGATTAAGTCAACATTCCAGATCAATCATTTGTGTTTTGGGGTTGAACTGTACAGGGAATGTGCCTCATTAGAAATGTGTTTCTACCTTGCTCATCCAGCAGCTTCTTGGCCAGCTCCTCGCTCTCCACCTCGTCTCCTCCCTCCAGTTCAAGAGGCTCATCTGCGATGTCCAGAGCCTCCAACTCCAGCTCCAGATCTTCTGTGGTGCTTGCATCTTTTCCTTCTCTGCCATCTGAAGAGAGAAATCCTCAGAAAAAAAACTCTGAAACTTCCCTCTTTGCGTTTCTGAGTTAAGAACCTCATACCTTTGCTGTCCTCTTTGTCTTTGCTCAGGCCGCTCTTCTCGTTGTCCTTGAAGAGGATCGCAGGAACGAAAGCCTTCAGGTCGATCAGGTTTTCGTAGAAGTTACGAGCGTCTTCGTCCTCCCAGATCCCCCCCTCCAGTTCGTACTCCCCGGGTTTTCCCGGGGTGAAGATGTCGATGCCGGGGCCGTGCTCTGAGGGAGAAAACAGACGTCCATTACACATGTTCATAGGTCTCAGTGATGGTGTGTGTTGATCGGATGCATACCTTCCTGGACAGTCTTGTCCTGCGGCAGCTCAGGCATGTTTTCGTCCAGCAGGTCTGCCAGGGAGTGAGTGTTGGCCAGCAGCTTTTGGTAGGATGTAGCGAACTCCTCGTACTGCTTGTGCCTGTCCTCGCTCAGCTCCCCTTTGGAGTGCAGGATGCGACTGAAACAGATGAGAAGTCAGACTAAACGGCACGATGGAGGAAGATGCTCTGGAAGAACCACTTACCGGTTCTGCCTCTCAATGTTCTGCAGCTCCCGGTGGTCCTTCTTCAGATGCTTGGTCAGGGAGGTGAAGTACTCCCGCAGGAGGTTCTGGAAGGGCTGCTGCTTCTCTGTACTGATGATCTCGCTTGGAGGGAAAGTCAAGCAGAACTTCTCTGCGGCCAGCTTCACCTTTCGGGGCACCAGCCCGGCGATGTCATCTCCGCAGTGCTTACAGAAGCTGATCACCACCGACACGTGGGTGTGCGTCTCCCGGTCCGTGCCGATGATGTTCTTCAGCTGCTCGTAAATCAGTGACAGGCCTTCTTTGTCGGTGAAGAGGCCGACGATGGTGAGCTCGGCGATGAACCGCAGGTCTGTGCGCAGCTTGCTCACGTTTGGCGCCTTTTCCTCCTTCCTGGCTTCAAAGTGCTTCTTCCACGCCTGCAGCAGCAAGGGAGCAAACTCTGTGTAGCGCTGGTGGAAGAGGGAGCACAGGTGGACGGCACAGCCCACGTCCGAGATCTTCAGCTTGGCCTCCACCAGCGAGCTGACGGCCTCGCCGATGTACTTGCTGAGGTTGAGTGAGGAGAAGTCGTTGGAGAGCACATCCCGCTGCTGCTCGGTCAGCGTGCGCAGCTTCTTCACGAAGGCCGTGTTCTTCTTAAGGCTGGAGTCCAGGCGGCTGAAGAAGGCCTCTTCAGGTCGGCTCTCGTGGGCGTTCTGGTTCTTGCTGCGGAGTTCTTTCCGGCTCTGATGGCGTTCCCAGGCCTCCTGGTGCAGCTGGTGGCCCTCCTGCTTTTCTCTAAAGCAGGAAAACAGGAGGAGGATCAGAGAACGCTGAAAAGATTTTCAGAGCCGTGGTAGAACATCGGTTTGACATTAAGCAGAGCAAAAAGCATCGCAAGTTAAGAGGTTCCTGAAAAACCACGGCACATCCTTCAACAGCTGAAGGATCCAAACATGAGAGAAATACCTTTAGAGGCATTGGTGTCTATTAAGACTAATTATAAGCAGAGAAGGTCCCAGTTTGTCTGCTTTGTTTTTTCTAACAGAGAAATTTCTGAAGCATAAGAAGAAACTTTAAATCTATCTCTTATTTTACAATTAGACAAAAATTTAAGAGTCTTTTGACCTGATTACATAAAATATCTGTTTACATTTAAGTCTGATTTGATTCCTGAATAGAAATAAAAGCAGGAACCTCAAAATCCCGATAATGAAATGAACTAAAAGATCGTAACTTTATTGGACCTGGATGGGAGTGATGAGTCTGAGTTCCATCTCTAACAGTAACTTACTTGAGCAGCGCCGCCTCCTCCTCCCGCTGTCGTTTGGCTTCATCTTCTTCAAGCTTTCTCTGCAGCTCCTCCTGCTGCTTCTTCTCCTCCTCCTCCTTTTTCTTCTGATCCTCCTCTGCTTTCTGCTTTTCCTCCTCTTTCTTCTTCCGCTCCTTTTCCTCTTTCTTCTTCTTTTCCTCCTCTAAACGCTTTCTCTTCTCCTCTTTGCCGACATCCTTTTTGCTGCTTGCTTTCGCCTCTTCTTTGGCTTTGTCTCGAGCAGATGCGGGCCTCCTCTCTTCATCTATATCCTTCTCTTTTTCTTTGTTGCTGAAGCAGCTAGCGTCTTTTTCATCCATGTTTACTGAGGGGTTTCACTCAGCGGATATACTAAGGATGGACAACAGCATAATCAGATTTTAAAAAATAAATAAAAATGTTCAGATTCTTTAAAATTTTAAA